TAGTAGCAGGATGGGGTGTTAGGGTTGTAGTAGGGGTTGTTAGGCATTTCCTGTCTTCTTGGTGTTTTTTTTCCTCTAGCAAGCGTAAACCCTAATTTAGGGTTTGGGGTTATATCGTAAACCCTAAACCCTAAACCCTTGAGGGTTTGATGTTTCTTCAGGGCAGAGTTACGTTTCTATGATCGTCTATTCACTAAACCCTTGCCAGAGGAAGAAGAGCCTGATCAGCCAGAGGGTGGTTGGCGTGCACACATAAACCCTAATTCTCTCAAGGTACGTATACCACCTTTCTAGGGTTTAGGGTTTAGGGTTTAGGGTTTAGGGTTTAGGGTTTGCCACAAGAGGTTCCATACTTAGTGTCCAGTCAATATTTCAGAAGTAGGGTTTAGGGTTTGCATCCCCCCTAGAAATTCTTGTTTTCTTTCTTTCGACTCGAACTAGGGTTTAGGGTTTAGCTAGGGTTTAGGGTTTAGCTAGGGTTTAGGGTTTAGGGTTTACGATTTTTTTTATTTCTTTTTTTTTTTATAGGTATATAAAGGATTTGTAGAGGCAGACGTTGCTAAGGAAGAACTTTTTCCTCCGCAATTTGTTGTACAATTTGAGCGTTTAGGGTTTTTTACGTTAGATGCAGATTGTGAATATGTATTAGCTGGTGACGAGAAAGGGTTTGGGGCTGCATGCGCATGCATGCATAATTATAGTAGAGATGCTAAATTATATAAAAGACCTAATCATATACCATTACCTATATTTAATTTAACTGTTAGTCTTGTTGAGGGATATACAGCAGACAAAGAAAAAGAAGAAGAAATAAAAAAAAATAAAATAAAAGAAGCAGAGGCAAGGAAGAAAGCAGCAGAAGAAAGACAAAGAAAAAAAGAATTAAGGGAAGCAGCAAGACTAGAGAAGGAGAAGGAAAAGGAGAAAAGAGAGAGTAAATAAATAAATAAATAAATAAAATAAATAAATATATAAAGGGTATACAGGAAGGTTTATACGTTATTGTTCTTTTATATATAGACAAATAAATAAATAAATAAATAAATAAATAAATAGTTTATTTATATGTGTATATAAATATAATAATATTAATAATATTATTAACAATATTACATTACTATTATTTTTAATAATAATAAATAATACACAAGAATGTTCATTCATGGGGCTGCATGCGCATGCATGCATTATTGCATGCATGCACGCATGCATGCATGCATGCATACGCATGCTGACTCTTAGTATATGTTATGCATGCAGCCCCAAACTTCTTTACCAATTAACACAAACCCTCCTATTAGGGTTGATTATTAAATATTCCTTTTTATTTATTTAATTATATTTATTTAATTATATTTATTTATTTATATTTATTTATTTATATAGTTATTTAATATTATTTAATTAATAAAAATAAAAAGTATTATTATAGGTAGTTATTTATCTATTAATAGATAAAATATTATTAGTTATTTATTTACTATATATATAGTAGGTATATATATCTATTAATATAATTAATATAATTAATTAATATAATTAATTAATATAATTATTTATACCTATAATAATAATAATAATACTATATATTTATAGTAATAATAATTATTTATTATTATTTATTTATATTTATATACTATATTATTATTATTATATACACCTTAAGAAAGTTGAGGTGTACGTACACCGCAAATAGCTAACAGAAACTATAAAATGCATGCACGCGCATCTTCCCCTCCTTATTTAAATGGGGCTTTCTGCTGCATGCATGCATGCTTGCATGCATGCATATGCATATTCATGCATGCATATCCATGCATGCACGCGCAACTCCCCCTCCTTATTTAAATGGGGCTTTCTGCTGCATGCATGCATGCTTGCATGCATGCATATGCATATTCATGCATGCATATCCATGCATGCACGCGCAACTCCCCCCTTTTCTTCATTCAAATGGGGCTTTATGCTGCATGCATGCATGCATAAATAAATGCATGCATGCACTCGCACCTTCCCCTCCTTTATTTAAATGGGGCTTTCTGCCGCATGCATCCCTGCATGCATGCATGCATGCATGCACTGGTTCCTTCATTACGGCATTGCTGCTGTGCGCGACCAAGGAATGCATAGCTGCTGCTGCTGCTGCTGCTGCCGCTGCTGTTGTTGCTGCTGTTGCTGCTGCTGCTGCTGCTTAGAAGCAGCTGCGCATGCAACTAGATATTTATATAAGAATAACAATACAACGAGCATAAGAAGAAGAAATTTATATAAATAATAAATATATATAAATAAATATATATAAATAAATATACATAAATAAATATATAAGTAAATATAAATAATATATATTTTTTTTTTCTTTGTCTTCTTCATAGCTACACATATAACTGCATTGCGTTGCTGCTGCTGCTGCTTCTGCTTCTGCTTCTGCTGCTGCTGCTGCTGCTGCTGTTGCATCCGCTGCTATTCATGTTTCTGTTCAAGCTGTTGTTTCTGTTGCTGCTGTTGATTCTGCTGCAGCTGTTGATGCTGCTCTTGCTGCTGTTGATGTTGCTGCTGTTGCTGCTGCTGTTGCTGCTGCTGTTGATGTTGCTGCTGTTGCTGCTGCTGTTGCTGCTGCTGCATTAGACGCGATCTGGTTCCCCAACGACTTCAATATATCCACCAATTTGCTGTTGCTGTTTTGCTGCTAGCATTTGTTCTGCTGCTGCTGCCTCATCTGCTGCTGCTGCAGCAGCAGCAGCTGCTGCTGCTGCTGCTTCTGCTGCAGGTGTAGCATCTTGTATACTATCCTGATTATTATGATCTGTTTCTTCATCATCATGTGTATTTTGCTGTTGTTGCGGTTGCTGCTGGTGCTGCTGCAGCAGCAGCGCAGGAAACTTGAATTTTTTGTGGTGCTGCTGCTGCTGCTGCTGCTGCTGCTGCTGCTGCTGCTGTTGGTGATTTTTTTGTTGACTATTTTTATCAATAAAAAAAAGGAAAGTAATAGGTATAAATAAAAGAAGACCAAGAATAATTAATAATAGATCTATAGGAAGGAAATTATAAGGATATAAATATAATAAATAATAAGTACTTAATTTATATAATGGTATACTTATTAGGGAAAATATTCCCCCTATTAAGGAAGAAATACCCAAAAAAGTACCAAAATATTTATAAAAAAAATAATTTTTTATATAGCAATAAATACTACTAAGTACAAAAGAAGCATAAATAAAAAAGAAACAAATAGATATATATTTATATATATAATTATTATTTATTATTATATTTATATACATTAATATACCCGCTATATTTATTATATATATTATCCTTATTACCCCGTACTTATCACTAAGATAACCTAATAGAGGACTAGGTATAAAGGATAATATATTCATTAAGGAAAAAAATAAATATATATTATTCTTTCCTTCTTCTCCTTCTCCTCCTCCTCCTCCTCCTCCTCCTTGTTGTTGTTGTTGTTGTTGTTGTTCTTCTCCTTCTTTTTTTATTATTAATTGTTCCTTGTTACTTTTTGTATAAAATTCTATACGTAATAAATTAACAATAAATATAGGTAATAATAAGAAAAATCTTTTATCTTTTAGGTAATATAATACTCCTTTTTCTTTTTCTTCTTCTTCTTCTTCCTCTTCCTCCTCTTCTTGTTCCTCTTCTTCTTGTTGCTCCTGCTGCTCCTGCTGCTCCTGCTGTTGCTGCGGTTGTTCTTGTGGTTGTTGTTGGGGTTCGTCATTGTTTGTATTTCCTTCGTTGCTGTTGTTGTTGTTGTGCTGCTGCTGCTCCTGCTGCTCTTGCTGCTGCTCTTGCTGCTGCTCTTGCTGCTTCCTTTGCTGCTGCTCTTGCTTCCTTTCTTGTCTCCGCTCTGTTGCCTCCATTACTTTTATTACTTCTTTGTATTCTTCCTCTGTTAGCAGCAACTTATATACAATATTATTATTATTATTATTGCTGCTGCTGCTGCTGCTGCTGCTGCTGCTGCTGCTAGTATTATTATTATTATTATTATTATTATTATTATTATTGTTAGTGTGTCTCCATGGAGAAAAGAAGGATAAAGGTAATTGTTTAATTAATAATTGTCTCCTTTCTTGTATTTGTGTATTTTTATCTAATAATTTATAATCATGAATAGATAAGAAAGGAGAAGAAGGAGTAAATATAATACAAATAAGTAAACAAATACAACATAATGCACCAATAATATATATAATTAATATATGCCATAGATAAAAAGGAGGAAAAGTATTCTTTTTATATATTATAGATATAATAACAGGAATAGAGAAAGAAAGGGAACGTACAGACCCCATTATACCTAATATAGTATTTTCTTTATAAGGAAATAAATTAGATATACATAATAGAGGAAAAAAGCCAGGATCTGCAGCCATCCCTATGAATATAAAGGATAATATATATAATATAGAGGAAGAGGAGGAGGAAAAAGAAGAAGGGGAGGAAAAAGAAGAGGGAGGAGAGGAAAAATGGGGAGAAAAAGAAGAAAAAGACAAAGAAGGGGTATAAGAAGACGTAGAAATAGGTGATGAATAAGAAGAAGAAAAAGAAGAAGAAGAAGAAGAAAAAGAATAAGAAGATAAATAAGGAGAATAAGGAGAATAAGAAGAAGAAGAAGGAGAAGCAATAGATAATAATGACCAACCAATTATATCCAATAATATAGCAAAAAAATACGTCTTTTTAGGTCCTATTTTATCTAATAGAATTCCCCCTACAGCAGAGAATATAAAATTAGATGCAAATGCTGCTGTATATAAATTATTTATTGCGTTTTTTCTTGCTGGACAGTCAATATAGGCAATAGATCCAACATATTGTACATTATTATTAGTACCAATAGAACCAGCAGATTCTCCTGTACCTTCTGATACCCCTTCTGCTGCTGCAGCAGCAGCAGCAGCAGCAACAATAGAGGAAGAAGAAGGAATGCATACCCATTCATAGGCACCAGATTTATATAATATGTCCTGCATGCCATTCCAGCCCCAATATGTACAGCCCCTAAGAAAAATAGCAACAAGAAAGAGCAGCAGCAGCAGCAGACGCGGTGCATGCAGAGGTAGAGGTTGCTGTAATACTTGTTGTATATATTTCTCATCTCCTGCTGTAGCTCCTTCTTCTTTTCCTCCTCCTCCTGCTGCTGCTGCTGCTGCTGCAGCAGCAGCTGATTCACTACTCCATTTCTTATATAAAGCCCCAATGTTCTTTGCATGCGCTTGTCTTATATAATTCAATAAATGCTTCTTATCTCCTGCATCTCTTATACCTATTACCTCTACTATTGGCTCCTCTCCTCCTGCTGCTGCTCCTGCTGCTGCTCCTGCTGCTGCTCCTGCTGCTGCTGCTTCCGATGAGGATGCTGCTGCATCTGCACCTAGTAAGACTGCTGTCTCCTCTCCTGGAGGATGAGGAGGAAGAGGACCTGTTGGTGGGGTTGCTGCTATTGCTGCTCCTGCTGCTGCTCCTGCTGCTGCTCCTGCTGCTGCTGCTGCTGTTATTGCTGCTCTTGCTGCTGCAGGAGATAAAGGACGTTCTTGCTGCTGCTGCTGCTGCTGAGCAGTCTTAGAGATCGCACCATTTAGGGGTTGTGCAGGAGACATTTTCTTTATTCTTTTTTTTCTCCCTTTTTATTCTTATTGTATATATAGATTATATATATAATAAAGACAAACAAAGACAAGAAAAGAAAGAAAAGACAAAGAAAAGAGACACTCTTAATGGGTACATTAAACCCTAATAAAAGAAGCAAAAGTTTGGTGTTTATATTGAGGGTTTTTATGGTGTTATATTTATATGTCTACAAACCCTAAACCCTAAACCCTAAACCCTAGACAGGATCTGTTGGAGGGTACGATGGGGGGGTTGCTGCTAATTGTAAGTTAAATGGGACAAAGAAAGAAAGATAATGACAAGACATAAACCCTAAACCCTTTTTTAGGGTTTACAAGGAACTAGCGATGAATAAAGGTGTATAAGTATGACGGTCCTCCATCCGCCCTTATAAGGTAGCCTAAGAAAAGGCAGAGAAAAAGACCTTCTTTATTTAATTTGCATTTATACACCTCAGCACATTTAATAAATATAAATAATAAAAGAAATGTTTTTCTTCTTGATTGTTGTTAACAACAGCAGCAACAGCTGCCGCCACCCTACAGCGCTAGCAAGCTGCGGTGTATACACCTTGTCCAGTGGTCAAGGGGGTAATTAGGTTGTTTTTTATCGTTTTTCCTCTATTAAAAGATTCACACAATATTAAAATTATACTTTATTTAAATAATACACACAAAATTGAATAAATTAATTTAAAAAACACAGAAAAAGCCTAAAAAAACAGACAAAGCGCTTCTGTTGTGCTTCTGGCTCGACAGCAGCAGAGGAGAGGATACACCACGAGGATATTAACTAAATTTGCCGGTAAAATTCCCTTCATTTGTTTTCTTTTTAATAAATTCAATATATTAAAAAGAAATAAAAGAAAAAAGGGGAAAAATGAACCCCTATAGTGCTATATTATACACCTGTAGGTGCCACCTACAACACCAACCTCTTTGTTTCCTTCTTTTTCCTCCTTTTACCTCCTTGTGTGTACATTTTATTCCTTATAAAATAAATACTTATAAAAGGCAATAAATAAATACCAATACCCCTCATAAGGGAGAATTAAGATATTTATTCACTCATTAGGGTTTAGGGTTTAGGGTTACAGCGCTCCTCCTCCGGCAGGTTGCAGCATCTCCTATGCTTTACATCTAAACCCTAAACCCTAAACCCTAAATTCTACAACATTAGAACCGAGCACGACCCCTCTCCTCTAAACCCTAAACCCCTAGACCGTAACTATCCCAAACCCTAACTAAACCCTAGCCGAAACCCTAAACCCTAAACCCCCAGATCCTACGCAGCCCAAACCCTAAACACTAATTTTTATCCCAACAGAGCAAACCCTAAACCCCAGAAACGGCCCTAGGCCATAGCCTAAACCCTAAACCCTAAACCCTTGACAAAGTAGGGGGAAGGAGAGCTGACGAAATACTTTAGGTGTCTCCTTTTGTTGTTTGTTTATGAATTAAAAAGACACAAGAAAGGAGACATAAATGTATATTTATATATAAATATATAAATATACAAATAAATATAAATATAATGTATATACTACATATAATATATGTATATAATAATGTATATTATATCTACTATATGCATACTTATACAAACGCCAAGAGACAGGAGAAAAACGTACGCCTGCCTGCATGCATGCATGCATGCAGGTACTAACATATATGCATATGCATGCATGCATTACCTTGCATGCATTACACTGCATGCATTCCCTTGCATGCATGCATGCATAAACTTGCATGCATGTATGCATGCGTAAACTTGCATGCATGCATAAACATATATGCATGCATAAACTTGCATGCATGCATGCATGCATGCATGCATGCAAGTTTATGGTGTATCTTCTGTTTTTTGTTTTTTTCTTTGTAGGAATCTTGCCCTTGCATTAGCTAATTGCAAAGGAGACAATTTATTAGGAAAGGAGACACTTTTTATTTCTTTATGTTCCTTGAATGGTAATACCATTTCTTTTGTTATAGGACAAGAGGCACTACTGCTGCTGTTGCTGCTGCTGCTGTTGCTGCTGCTGCTGCTGGTAGAGTCAGGAGTGGGAGAGACAGGCGAAGATCCGGTTGGCTCTTCTTTTATAGGTCGTTTTTGCTGCATTTGCTGCTGCTCTTGTTGCTGTTCTTGCTGCTGCTCTTGCTGCTGCTGCTCTATCCCTTCTGTCTTTGCTGCCTTTACCTGTGAAGCTGCTGCTGCTGCTCTTGCAGCAGCAGCAGCAACAGCATCAGCAGTACTACCAGCAGCAGCAGCACCGCTCCCAGCAGCACCACCAGGAGTAGCAGCACCAGCAGCAGCAGGTGCAGCACCAGCAGGAGCAGGAGCAGCAGGAGGAGTAAGTGCAGCAGCACTCCTTGTAGCAGCACCAGATCTGAGTAAATAAGCATGAAAAGAAGAAAGATCTTGTTGTTTATCTGCTGCTCTTTCTTTATCTATTTTATCTTTTTTCTCCATTTCCTCCATTATCTTTTGTCTCTCTATTAATCTTTCCTTATAACTATTTGTTATAAATACTTCCTCTATTTTTCCTCCTTCTTTCTCTCTTTCTTTCTTTATTTGTCTCTCTTGTATTATTTCCCTCTCTAATTGTCTCCTTTGTGCTTGGACTAACATTTTCCCTATAAAACGAGCACGGGGGGCCTCCCGTACCCTTTCTGGGGGCCCCCCGGGGCCCCCCCCCAGTCCACCAGCTCCACCTGGCGATAACCCATATACCACTGAGGGGGAACGAGAGGAGGAGGCCCCTAGGGGCCCCCTTGGCGACTCCTCCTCCATTTTGGGGCCCCCCAACTCTGAGGGGCCCCCACCACCAGACTGGGGGGCCCCCCTTAGGGCCCCCTCCGCCTCTGCTGCTAATATATCCGCTGTTTGTCTATCCTTATTTATTTTTTCTTGTATATCTTTTGTATAACCAAGATATATACGATGTGATTGTGCCTTTTGCTGCTGCTCTTTTGCTGCTGTGCTGCTGACCTGTTCGTACACCTCATCATAGGATAATGCCTGAGGGTCCTGCTGCAGTAAATTATTTATTATTTCTTTTTCTTGTATATTATTCTTACGAGAGAAATGATCTAAAGATAAACGGGGTATTTTATTCCCTTTCTTTTGCTGCTGCAGCAAATGTTCTGCTGCTTCTGCTTCCTCATCTAGTGCCTGCTTGAATACATCAAGAGGAGCACGAGGTCCTCCTGCTGCTGGTGCTGCTGCTGCTGCTGCTGGTGCTGCTGCTGCTGCTAAAGGGCGTGCGCCTGCTGCAGGCTTTGCAGCTGATGATTTCTTCAAAGAAAAGGAGAAACTCATCTTATAGGAAGAAGGGGCCCCACAGGGCACAATAGGGGCCCCTAAAGGGTACTAAAATAAATGAGTAACTATATTGATGTATTAAAGGACAAATAAATAAAAATAAAGAAAAGAAAGAAACACACAAAAAGAAACAATGAGGGGGTACAGACACCTCAATGATTTAATACAACAAATAAAATAAAGGGGAGATAAACAACTACATAAAAGAAAAACGAACAACATTCACCCTACACACACTGCTGTTCGTGCTGTCACTGCTCTGCGGCTGCTGCTGCTGCTGCTGCTGTTGAACCCGTTGTTGCAGCTCTGCTGTCTATAAGTCTATTGCTAAATGTAAAAGAATTATTTTGTTGATTTTTAATTAATAAAGGAACAAAAGAAGCGGAGAAAAGGCAAAGAAACTCAAGGCTCCAGGGGCCCCCGTGAGGCATCAGGGGCCCCCCGACGCCAGTACACAATTGTGCAGGGAGAAAAAAATATAACTAAATAAAAGACGAGAAATATTTTATTTTAGGAGCAAATAAAATAAATATAAAGTAAAAACAAAGACAATGCCCGACAGCTGCGTGCTTTGGGGCTGGAGTTCTTGCATGACTGCATGCACGCAGGTAAGCACGCATGCATGCATGCCATGCATGCTAAGAGTTACTTAGGAGAATCTATATGCTAAATATGGTATTTATTAAGGAACAATTAAACCATGTGTACAAATAGGTATTTAGGTTGTATAATGCTACTCTTCCTGTGTAGACATAAGCAGCAACAAAAGGAAGAAAATTTCTTGTTGTTACGAACCCAAAGAGTATGGCTTATGTTACGTTACTATTATAATTAAAACATATATAAAAGGGGAGGCAACCTGCACGTATATTAGTAAAAAAAATGTGCTGCTTTGTTGGTCACCATAGAAAGGAAGCAACAGAGTACGACTACCAAGACGACAGAGCCGACTACGGGGCTCGAACCTGCGACCACCAGCTTAAAAGGCTGGCGCTCTACCGACTGAGCTAAATCGGCGTGTGTGTGGAGGCGCTAGTTGGCATTTTCCTGTTTTCTTACTGTACAGCAGCACCAACAGCAGCAGGGGCGGCTCCCTCAGGCAGCCTTCGGCCTCCGTGGCCTTCGCCTTGATGATGCTGCTGCTGCTGCTGTTAACCATGCAAATAACAAGCGCGCTCTGCTTGTTGCTGCTACCAGTACATCTTTATCTAACACTCCCCTCCTCCCTCTTTTCAGGCTCTGCTGCTGCTGCTGCAGTAGTTGTCCTCCTTTTCTGACGCGAACCTGCTTCTGCTGCTGTACTAGGGGTGGCGCGCATACCCGCATGCATGCAGAGACGTGTAAGCGCTTACAGCCAATGGCGCTTAATTATATATATA